GGGCGGGAGCGGCCCGCAGACCGCGGCCGGAGAGACACGTAGCGCCGATGCCCCTGGGCCGGGCCGGCTGGAGGAGCACCGCTGCCGGCAAACACCCCTTCCTGGCTCGGGGAGGCCCGCACCTCCAGCTGAGAGGTACATAAAAGCAGGGGCAAGCCCTCAGGTGTTGTGGAGAAAAGCGCAGCAGTGACTTGAATACGTCTGAAGGCTCGGAGAAGGGCAGAGCTCAGCATTTCTGTGCTACTTCTGAAGATGGGGCACTGGGCACCGGGAGTATGGGAGTGGGGTCCTGCAGGCAAAGGCTCGGGGCTGAAGCTCATGAACAGGACGTTCAGTCTGACCACAGGGACTAGCGGTAGCTGCTCTGTGAAATGCAGAGCTTAAAAGCCAAGTCAATTTTCAGATGGTCCTGACCTGCCTGTATATTTATAAATACTAGGCCTGAAAGACATACATATCAACATGGCCACCAAACTCCCCAATGAGGTCAAAACATAGGTGCAGACTTTATAGAAAAGCTTTATTTGTACTCATCTGCAGTAAATTGGTGTCCAAACATGAATTCAGAGCCCTTTTGAACTCAAATTCCCACAGAGGCCTCAGCAGCACAGCCCCTACCACTTCCACAGAAGGGAACAGCAAAAACCGGAGGATGGGGACTTGGATGGAGTTAAGGGATTGTAACACTTCCCCCACAGAGCACCAAATTGGCGATGCACAACCACCTCTCACAGTGCTCACCACAACCAGCGCTGCTCCCAACAGGACTCCAAAACACACCAAGTCACCTGCGGCTTCCAAGAGAGACAGTGCGTTGCCTGGGATGGCTTGTGTGTGGGAGCTGTGGCTTGAGTCCCTGCAGAGGCAGCTCAAGAGGAGGGAATAAAAGCAAAGTTTTCCTACTACTAGTCACAAAATACTGAACAGACACCATTTTAGTTGAAGTTAATTGCAGGAACTGCAGGTGCTTTCTACCTCTGAAACCTGTGTGGTAGTCTGCTTTCAGCATTTTTAAAGATATATATGTACACACACAAAAAATGTCAAGTGAAACTCTCAAAAAATATTTTTATTCTGCTACACTGTTTCACTAGCTCATTTGCAGCAGATCTTACACAGCCCTGCTAGTTGCATAGGATAAGGACTATAAAAGGTTTGGAAATTAATTCACCTCATAACTTTGGATTGATTTCCCCTCTTCCTAGTGCCTGTTTTGTTTTACTAAGCAACAGCAGTTGCACTAGAGCATGCAACATGCTAAGAACATACCATTTCATCCTCTTTTTTTAAAAATTCAGTTCCAAATGCCTAACTTCCCAGTCCTTACTCTCAATTTTAATTAATGTAGCGCTCGTGAGAAGTGACAATTTTCTTGACAGTGATGAACAGCAAGTCGTGTATTTATCCATCCGAGAGATGCACCGCAGACAAAAGAGCCAAGCACTTTTCTCATCAGTGCACCTCCGTCTTGATCTCAGAGGGCTGAGTTCATTATGGAGTGCACTCTGGCCCTGGCCTTTCTCTTCCAGTTGCTGAAAGTAGTATCAATTTTCATTTGCATACTTTGTCTGCTGAACTCTAGACTGCCAATTTAGTTTACACAAATCTCCCAAAAAGCTGTTAGATGGCAATATTTCACATCACTGGCTGAGCTCTTTGTCAGCCATCCACACATTTTAAATCCACATTTTTACTGACTCTTTGAATATCTGGGACTGTGACAAACCTTTCATTGGTAGTGACAGACTCCTATGTAAGTCACCATTCATTCACCAAAATAATGACCAATAAAACCAAAAGACTTCCAGAAGGGCTGGGTAATGACAACGTTCTCTTAAATACCATCTTGGAGTTGCTTTCAGCCTTTTTCAGTTTCTACAGCCCAACTTGTTTTTCAGGAAATGCTTCTAGAGCAGATGTAAACTTATGCAAGTAGTGCTGCCTTTCCTGGGTATGTTTACCCCTAACAGTCTCTCTGTCTCCTATAGACAGTCCAGGATCCTCAGCAGTTCATAACTGAAAACTGACACCCTCAAAACCAAACACTAGAAAAACATGAAATAACCTTCAAGGAAGTGAGAAAAGGAAAAGGTTGGTAATCACCACAAAATACCTTACAAAGAGCAAATGCTGATGAAGATAAAAGCTTGCCTGCTCCAGACATTTAGTATTCATTTTAAAAATAAAATAAAAAGCATTTTTAACAATATAATCACAATTTTATGTGAAAATAGAATAACAATTTCAAACTATTTCTTTAATCTGACTGCTGTGCGTGTGCTGGACACAGTGACAGCACACAAGGCCCATCCGGCCCACCTGGCTGCCAGGGCACTGCCCCAGCCTGGGTTTAACCCGTGGTTCGGCAGGAGGGTTTACCGGCAAGTGCCGGCAGGCCGCAGAGCAGCACAAGCCATCCCTTTAACCTCTCCTGTGCTTTTTTAAATTCTTTTGAAAGTACCCAGCAAACTCCAGACAACATCAAGGACACTCACAGGTACCAACACCCCGAGGTAAGATTTCACCTGTTGAGCCAAAGTTACAGCTTCAGTACGGTATTTGAAAGAGCAGGGAGGGTTCACCTCTCTCCTCTTGAGACGTGCCCTCACCCGGCCCGGCCCGGCCTACCCTACCCACTGCTCCCGGGTTCCCCCGCCCGCCCCTCG